TCAAAGAATCTATGACACGCGTCGATCATTGATTGCATCAGATTCTCTGGTACACCGTGGTTGGTCACCTAATAATTCCCATATATATAATTTATGCTTAATTAGCTTTCATCATGAGAGTTGTAGATACAGTTTGACAAATACTTTGTTGATATTATAAGGTAAACATAAGTATTTGTCTAACAACATAAGTCCTGTTACTATAAACAAATTAAGGGACATACCTGGAAGAAGCCCCATTCCTCGCAAGCTCTGCGCAGCTCCTGGATCACTTTTGCTCGTTGATCAGGAGATCCCGACGTGAGAAGGGCAAAATCAATGATGGGGATTGAATGCTCTGGGTCGTTTGCATCGCCTTGTTCATTAGGATTTTTGGTATAGGTGTACTCAGAAGGTACAAAAGTGAAGGAAGCTGAGTCAGCTAGTGTTTTGATGCTTGCTACTTTGGGTACTTCATGGCCATTAGATGCCTCCATTGAAGTAACTGTAGGTGCCATTGAGAGGAGAGAGAGAAAGAGAGAAAAAGAGGTGGGACTGAGCCTTTGAGAGTGATATTTCTGTATATCTTTGAGTGAGAGAGAAGGCGTAGGGCAGTTGTGGAGGTATTTAGAGAAAAGGAATGGGTATTTATACAACAGGATGTACTGATTTTACACGTGGAGGATTTCTACTTGGGGCCTGTTATTTTAATGTTGTCCCACACCACAAGGTCTAGAAATTTTACAGAAATAAGTTGGCCAACGCTGACCAAGTTCCAAAATCTTGTCAATGCAGAATAAATAAATATATATTTTGTACTTAAACCTGTATGTTCCGATGAGTATTTTGTTGCTTTTTTATTTTTTTGTTGTAATTTCTTAGGTAGAATGGACAAAAACGCGTATATCGAAGGAAACGTTTTTGTGTATATTTCAAATTGGACGTTTTTGTCGTACGATTGTTGAGTACGTACTAACAGATGCTTTAGGAATCGGTTTTGTGAAAACGTTAATCCTTTATAATCCCCCTATCTGTTTTTTCCCTTGAACTTTTTAAAAAAAAATTAATAAATAAAAATCAAACTCTTGTTGTACATGAAATTTAGATACCCTAACTTTTTATATAGGCTAAATTGTCTTGAGGGAGCAAAATTCTAGAAAGTGTCTATTTGAAAAAGACAAATTATGCTAGCAACCTTCTCTCCAACCTTCTCTTTTGGAATTTCTTCCTTTTTTGCTTGACATGTGTCATTCTTTTTACACTTAAAGTAATGTCATTAATATATTATTCAATCTAACTTTTGCTACTTGGGGCCTGTTGTTTATATAATTAGAGTAGTTAAAGTATTTTGTGAAGTAAATTAGGTTAGACTAATTGAAAGTTGAATTCAATCCTTGTGTATTTGCCATACTATATTACGATTGACCTTGTGCACTTACAAGTATAATTTGTGTTTAGACTAATCTTTATAATCTCTATTTTTCAAGTTGTCTAAAATTCACAACAAAAAACAATTAATAGCACTCCGAAAAAGGTATTTTGCACTCATATCTTATGGGCAGTTATCTAGTGAGATCACCTACATGAGAACATTACATGAGAACACTATTAGATCTTATCTAATGGCTGCGTGAAAAGCAATTGTAAGTGAAACTATTGTATTAGAACGAGACCTTCTTCTCTCTCCTCCCTCCAAAACGTCACCTCCAAAACATATGTCCCCTCCAAACTAGCTGTTCACTTTATTCAATTAGGAGGGCTTTTTTTTTTTATAAACTTTGATTGATGAAGAACACTAACACTGAAGAGACAACGCCCTTGTAATTCCTTATTCGCTTTGAAGAAGAACACTGAAGAGTGCCCTCATTTTTCTGGCTTTCTCATTCAGGCGAAACAAAGCAATATTGGATTTTATATTTTCATCTTTGTAGTTTGGTCTTTTTGGTCGGAACATTCATCAATTTTTGAGCAACGTCGAAACTGGCGTTGAGTTGGAAACCGGTGACCGCGACCATTGTAGTTTTGTTCTCTTGGTTTTGAAATCCTTGAGCACAGTCAAAACAGGGATTGAGGAAGATGAAAAGTTGTTGGGTTTGACATCCAGATCTAAAAGAGCGATATTGTCATATTTGTTGAAATTTTGAGCTATTCTCCAAATCCTTTTCCAAGAACAGTGACAACCAACTTGAAGCGATACATTCCCAAAAACAGAAGCTTTGTGCTTTCAGACGAAATTGTGCCAAAGTGAGCCACACAATTACCCTGCCGAGGTTGGTGAACCACTTCGCCAATGTCCAATTGAGTTGCTTGAAGTTGAATATCGTCCACCATATTCCTAATATTGTTCCATGTCTCCTCACCAGCTTTTAAGAAATTGACCACCTCCTGGGAATCTGTAGCCAATATGAATCCATTCAAGCCTAATTCAACAGCCCACCAAATATATCATCCAAGCCTTGAAAAACTTAATTATTATAACACTGTTATCATAGTTTTTTTCTTCTAAAAATCATAAAGCAAAGATAATAACAATATTTCACACGTCATTGAAATTAAAAAAATAATACAAATGGTTCTTTTTGGGTTTTTTTCTCTTCTTCTTCTTCAATTTATAGGTTTTGGTGTTTATTTATAAAATCATTTCAAGAAATGGGGTTCTTTATAAATTTCTCTAATCGCTATTCAGCACCTTGGAATCCTTTTAGTTACACTAGCTATATATTATCTGTTTTGGTGCATAACTCTTTTCTGAATAAAAGACATTTCTTTGGAGCTGACTTCAAATATACAAGTATATATACGAATTACAACATTCATATGCTCTCACTAAGAGCATGTATGAACTCCTAGTGAAGAATCATGCAATTAAGGTGCCGATTGAATATTGGTAAATTTTCACTTGTGACTAAATATAACATGAAGTTCAATTGATTAAGAGAGAATCACGCACACTTTATGAGATGCGCAATTTATATTTATTGAGTTAAAATAGAGTGATGTATATAAATCAAAGAATTAGAGCATGTGGTTACGGATCACAGAGTCGGATGTTCCAATACCATGTATATCAGGATTTATATGGAACTTACCATGTACTTGGAATCAACCTGTCTCTTTTACTCCAGTGTTGGTGTGCTGTTAGATGGGGACAGACGGCAATTTATTTATTCATCTCTTCCCATGACTCTTAGTATTTAATTTATTTAATTTGAATGTCAGGTGGTTCATCAACATTCAATAAGAAATGACTAATAATGCAGAAAATAGACACAATTCAATGAAAATATTATTTAGAGAAAAATCAAGTAATTGAAGCCCAGCTCGGTCCTATTTTGAGTCCACATTCCTCCACTATGGCTTCAATTAAACAAAAAAACAATTCTCATAACATGCGCCCACAATTCTACCAAATTATAATGAATATTGTTGGTTTAAATTATGTAGTTAGGTAGGATTCATAACAATTTGGATTGGATTATGTCTAATCTTTCTAGGACTAAGTACAGTAGAATTATGTCTAATACAATATTTAAACCCATATAACAGCAAATTTCAATTAATTAAATTCTTTAATTATGTGTAGTACTAAACACATCATTTAATCATGGGGAATCAAACCTAGAACCCTTAGTGTAGCAGAAAAACTTGTATGAAATAAGGATAGCATTATTTTGCTTTCCCCAACCAATCACAAACTGTCACGTAAAAAAGTTATCACGTGTGACATGCCATGATTAGCCGGAGATAGCAAAATAGTGCTATCCCCGTTTCACACAAGTGTTTCTCCTAGTGCAAAGGTAAATGTTCTTAAGCACTTGAGCATACAAGTCCCCTGAGTGCCAAAAACATCATTAGATTACTGTTATCATTTCAAATCCAATTCAGCCCAATGTAGTCTAATTCAACCTCATAATCCAAACCAATTAAAATCCCCAAACACAAATATATTGCAAAAATTAATTGTTCGATGATAATGTCAGCCCATCCTCATGAGACAATTAATAAAGCATCATCATTAGTCGGCAATAATCTTCGTAAACCACCCAAAACATGGACAAAAGATTAAACTAGTCAAACACCTTGTGGGAAGACGAATTTTGACAACCAATCAGAAACTAAAACGTGGAAAAAGGAATTCATTAGGTCAAATAATTGTGCTAATTAAATCCTATTTAATTAGCCAATTATCCTTATTTAAGATAGGAATATCTCCCTAAATCAAAGATTCGATTTCCACCAAATCTCCTTGATATTATCGTGTCATCTCATTTAAGGAAAAGAATAATTCATATCAATAAGGAATTATTCTCCACAAACCCTACCAAAGATGAAGGCTCTATATAAATATGGCATCTCACCACACATGAGGTAATTCCAAAAAAAATAGCAAAGCTCATGCTACTCTCTTTCTTTATCCCTTTCTCATGGCTCCGCGCTCTGATCCCACTTCCCGACACACGCGCCTCGTCCTTTCACATAGAGGAAAACTTCATTCTTTTAATCAAATCTGCATCTCCTTGAGACCATTTACTAACTTAGGCATAAGAGGGCATTTGGCCAACATCTCCTGGGTGTTCTCCGTTGATGGCATTTGTTTTGCAGGGTTTGTGGAAGAAGAAGATCGAGATAGAAGAGATGATCATCCGTGAATATTCTCCTCAGAATTTTTTTGTACAAACAAATTGGTACCTTTATTGAGAGATTTGAGATATACTCAAAGTGTTTCTCTCGAATCCAAACCTAAGGAAATTGATTTCCTTCCTTTCATCATTCATCCGAAGCTTTCCGAACAACCGTGTCCGGAAGCGTAATCACAAGGATCAAGGCCACCCCAACTATCCAATCTGCCAAGAGTCTGAGCCATTCCCAAGGGACAACACCGAACGCATTTTGAGGTGCGAGCCAGAGCCGACCTCACGGTCCAACAGTCGAAGCCACTGCTCTTTCTCACGACCCATGGCCGGGGCTAACATCCCATCTCACCACCACCATGGAAGTGAGCACCGCTCCAGCACATGGCCTTATGGTCGAGACCACGGCTCCATCTCATGGCCACACGGCCGAGCCCGAAAATCACCCTCACTGTCGAATCTGGAGTTCACCTCCACAGTGGCACCACTATACTCGGTGGTACCACCGCTCACGCCAATCTTGTTGCCACCGCCAAATATGGCCCCGTCTTGGACCAAATGCATCAGTTCCCTCATTTGCCTTCGCGCTTGATGTTCACGATTCTCGAGCACACCTCCAACGATGGGCGACTGGCAGACGACACGAGAGGTCCCAAGAAAGTCGAGTAAGAACCAACATGCAAGGAGGAGGACAAGAGCGTGCAGACTAGCATGCAGGCATGTCACTAGCATCCACAAGTCATGACCAAAGTAGGTCAAGTATCCGTTCAAGATTAGGCCCATGAACTAATGTGCACTCAATGTTGGGGGCATAGTCTGATGTCCATGCCCACTTGGGCACTCAAGGAAGTGTTCATTCGAGGTTAGACCCATGAGGAAGCCATCCCCGTAGCCCACCTCATGGAGAGCGTCAAGGAGGACGCTAATCGACTAGCACCGAAAGGGTAAATTCTAGGCTACATGCCACAAAAAAATCATTCACAAACTCAATCCACTAATATGCTGCGCCGGCAGGGTAGCCAATGAGAACAACACTCTTTTGCTAATTAGGAGGTTGACTAATGACACCAACGCCATAGAAACCCTTGGCAAGAACCGCAAGAGTTACGAGTCTAGGATGTTGAGAAGCTCATGAATGATCAACTCCGAGACCTAAAAATCGAAGGAGACTTGGAAGACACCTTGCGCAAAGAGGTAGACTAAGCGAATTTCTCGCCGTTCAACGATGAAATTAAGCAAGTAGCTCCACCAAGGTGGTTCTCAACTCTTACCTTTAGACCATTCAAAGGGGATTCCGATCCCAAAAACCATCTTAAGCATTTTAGGAGTATCATGATACTCTATAAAGGCGACGATACACTTAGAAACAATCTCGACAAATGATTTCGTTGGCAAGTTTTGTGACCATAACTTTGTCGCCACAACAAACATGTTGGTTGTGATATTACAATGTATATTTATATAGTAGTGTAAGAAGTGTGATGATGGTGGTTAATTCTTCATCGAATGATGGTGTTGCTTGTTTGGTTTCTCCATCGAAGGATGGTGGTGGTGGTTTGGTTTCTCATTTTTGTCCAAAATATTTTTTAGCTTATTTTTAATAACCTAAGGCCTCGTTTGTTATGAAGGATTGTTTTGGCATAAACTATACTTAGAGACTGTCCTCGATTGGCTGAGCTTGATTTAAGCTAAATAAGACTTATCCGATGTTTGATGTAATACTAGACTAAAAAGCTGTATAATGTTAAAATAACATAAATAATACATGTGTCACTTCAAATTTTAAATTTTCACTCAAATGCAACAATCAACCAAAATGTTGAGCCATTTCTAAAAATTATTTTTATTAATATCTTATCCATAAAAAAAAATATATAAAAAAATATATATATTACCTAAAATTATCTTAAATGAAAAAATTAAAACAAACCCAACCATCGGTTATAAAATAAAAAACATAAAAAACACCACCCCCATCTGGCCCAACCCCAATTACCTTCACGTTACCATCCATCCCCAATATCAGGATTTATATGGAACTTACCATGTACTTGGAATCAACCTGTCTCTTTTACTCCAGTGTTGGTGTGCTGTTAGATGGGGATTTATTTATTCATCTCTTCCCATGACTCTTAGTATTTAATTTATTTAATTTGAATGTCAGGTGGTTCATCAACATTCAATAAGAAATGCAGAAAATAGTCACGTGTTGACACAATTCAATGAAAATATTATTTAGAGAAAAATCAAGCAATTGAAGCCCAGCTCGGTCCTATTTTGAGTCCACATTCCTCCACTATGGCTTCAATTAAACAAAAAAACAATTCTCATAACATGCGCCCACAATTCTACCAAATTATAATGAATATTGTTGGTTTAAATTATGTAGTTAGGTAGGATTCATAATCGTCGTCAAAGATTTGATGGCCTGAAAACAATCTGAATTGGATTATGTCTAATCTTTCTAGGACTAAGTATAGTCGAATTATGTCTAATACAATATTTAAACTCATCATTTTAATTATGGGGAATCAAACCTAGAACCCTTAGTGTAGCAGAAAAACTTGTATGAAATGGGGATAGCATTGTTTTGCTTTCCCCAACCAATCACAAATTGTCACGTGAAAAAGTTATCACGTGTGGGATGCCATGATTAGTCGGAGATAGCCAAATAGTGCTATCCCCGTTTCCTACAAGTGTTTCTCCTAGTGCAAAGGTAAATGCTCTTAAGCACTTGAGCATACAAGTTCCTTGAGTGCCAAAAACATCATTAGATTACTGTTATCATTTCAAATCCAATTCAGCCCAATGTAATCTAATTCAACCTCATAATCCAATCCAATTAAAGTCCCCAAACACAAATATATTGCAAAAATTAATTGTTCAATGATAATGTCAGCCCATCCTCATGAGACAATTAATAAAGCATCATCATTAGTCGGCAATAATCTTCGTAAATCACCCAAAACATGGACAAAAGATTAAACTAGTCAAACACCTTATGGGAAGATGAATTTTGACAACCAATCAGAAACTAAACGTGGAAAAAGGAATTCTTTAGGTCAAATAATTTTGCTAATTAAATCCTATTTAATTAGCCAATTATCCTTATTTAAGATAGGAATATCTCCCTAAATCAAATATTCGATTTCCACCAAATCTCCTTGATATTATCGTGTCATCTCATTTAAGGAAAAGAATAATTCATATCAATAGGGAATTATTCTCCACAAACCCTACCAAAGATGAAGGCTCTATATAAAGATGGCATCTCACCACACATGAGGTAATTCCAAAAAAAATAGCAAAGCTCACGCTACTCTCTTTCTCTATCCCTTTCTCACGACTCCGCGCTCTAATCTCACTTCCCGACGCACGCGCCTCCTCCTTTCACATAGAGGAAAACTTCATCCCTTTAATCAAATCTGCATCTCCTTGAGACCATTTACTGACTTAGGCATAAGAGGGCATTTGGCCAACGTCTCCTGGGTGTTCTCCGTTGATGGCATTTATTTTGCAGGGTTCGTGGAAGAAGAAGATCGAGATAGAAGAGATGATCATCCGTGATTATTCTCCTCGGAATTTATTTGTACAAACAAATTGGTACTTTTATTGAGAGATTTGAGATATACTCAAAGTATTTCTCTCAAATCCAAACCTAAGGAAATTGATTTCCTTCCTTTCATCATTCATCCGAAGCTTTTCGAACAACCGTGTCCGGAAGCGTAATCACAAGGATCAAGGCCGCCCCAACGATCCAATCCGCCACGAGTCTGAGCCATTCCCAAGGGACAACACCGAACGCATTTTGAGGTGCGAGCCTGAGCCCACCTCACGGTCCAACAGTCGAAGCCATTGCTCTTTCTCACGACCCGTGGCCGGGGCTAACATCCCATCTCACCACCACCATGGAAGTGAGCACAGCTCCATCTCATGGCCACACGGCCGAGCCCGAAAATCACCCTCACTGCCGAATCTGGAGTTCACCTCCACAGTGGCACTGCTATACTTGGTGGTACCACCGCTCACGCCAATCTTGCTGCCACCGCCAAATATGGCCCCGTCTTGGACCAAATGCATCAGTTCCCTCATTTGCCTCTGCGCTTGACGTTCGCGGTTCTCGAGCACACCTCCAACGATGGGCAAACGCACCGGCAGATGACACGAGAGGTCCCACGCAAGTCGAGTAAGAACCAACATGCAAGGAGGAGGACAAGAACGTGCAGACCAGCATGCGGGCATGTCACTAGCATCCACAAGTGATGACCAAAGTTGGTCAAGTATCCGTTCAAGATTAGGCCCATGAACTAATGTGCACTCAATGTTGGGGGCATAGTCTGATGTCCATGCCCACTTGGGCACTCAAGGAAGTGTTCATTCGAGGTTAGACCCATGAGGAAGCCATCCCCGTAGCCCACCTCATGGAGAGCGTCAAGGAGGACGCTCACCAACTAGCACTGAAAGGGTAAATTCTAGGCTACATGCCACAACAAAATCATTCACAAACTCAATCCACTAATATGCTGCACCAGCAGGGTAGCCGATGAGAACAACACTCTTTTCCTAATGAGGAGGTTGACTAACGATGCCAACGCCATAGAAACCCTTGGCAAGAACCGCAAGAGTTGCGAGTCTAGGATGTTGAGAAGCTCATGAATGATCAACTCCGAGACCTAAAAGTCAAAGGAGACTTGGAAGACACCTTGCGAAAAGAGGTAGACTAAGCAAATTTCTCGCCGTTCAACGATGAAATTAAGCAAGCAGCTCCACCAAGGTGGTTTCTTGACTCTTACCTTTAGACCATTCAAAGGGGATTCCGATTCTAAAAACCATCTTAAGCATTTTAGGAGTATCATGATACTCTATAAATGATTTCGCTGGCAAGTTTTGTGACCATAACCTTGTTGCCACAACAAACATGTTGGTTGTGATATTACAATGTATATTATAGTAGTGTAAGAAGTGTGATGATGGTGGTTAATTCTTCATCGAATGATGGTGTTGCTTGTTTGGTTTCTCCATTGAAGGATGGTGGTGGTGGTTTGGTTCCTCATTTTTGTCCTAAATATTTTTTAGCTTATTTTTAATAACCTAAGGCCTCATTTGTTACGAATTATTGTTTTGCATAAACTATACTTAGGGACTGTCCTCAATTGGCTGAGCTTGATTTAAGCTGAATAAGACTTATCTGATGTTTGATGTAATATCAGACTAAAAAGCTGTATAATGTTAAAATAACATAAATAATAGATGTGTCACTTCAAATTTTAAATTTTCACTCAAATGCATCAATCAACGAAAATGTTGAGCCATTTCTAAAAATTATTTTTATTAATATCTTATCCATAAAAAAAGATATAATAAAAAAAAATTACCTAATCTTAAATGAAAAAATTAAAACAATCCCAACCATCGGTTATAAAATAAAAAACAAAAAAAACACCACCCCCATCTGGCCCAACCCCCAATTACCTTCATGTTACCATCCATCCCCAATGTCCTTTTTTTGGGCTTCTCTCTCTCTCTCTCTCTCACTAGTTCATGGTTGGTGGTGGTTTGATTTTTTGTGTGTACTACAATTTCAAGGTTATATAGAGTTATATTTAAACTATATATATTGCAGCAGCTGCTTAAGTATTAATGTCTTTTTCATGGGGTTTTAAGGGGTCACAACCGTTACAGGCTTATATGTGGCTCTGCCCCTTAATGGTGGGATGGGGTTTAATGAGGTATGGATGTTGGTATTACTAGTGTAGATAGAGTTTCACTGGGTGGTGGTGACAGTGGGTTTGGGGAAAAAGGGGGCTTATTTTTTGCTCCCCCCTTTCCACATGCATTTTATTGTCCCCTCTAAGAAGTTGTTTTTGGTGGGGCCAACATTAACAATCCCCATTTAAAACTATAATCAATCAAAAACAAACTTGGGTTAAAATTTTATCCAACCCAATTCGGGCTTATCTGGTGTAAGGATTATATATATATATATATATAGAGAGAGAGAGAGAGAGAGAGAGGAGAGAGAGAGAGAGAGAGATGATAACAACTGTACCCTTTCTGATGAGGAGCATAGCTAATGAAAACACACTTTTATGCTTGGGGATCTAGTTTGCTTCATTGGTGATCATGTAAGTGTACAAATACAACACAGCCGAAAATCCGAGGTTCCAAGTTTGGGGTGGGAGGTATTTGCATATGGTGGTGAAGTGTTTGAAGTGGTGTTTGAAAATTTAAGATACTGGAGGGAATCCGATTAATAAGGTAAGTTGCAAAAAGGACAGCTTCTCCCCAAAAAGGCCGAGGCATATTGGCACCAAAGAGATAGGCACAAACTACTTCCAATAAATGTCTGTTCTTTCTTTCAACCACTCCATTTTGTTGGGGAGTGTATGGGCATGAAAGTTTATGTATGATGCCATGATCTTGTAAGAACTTGTTAAGATCATGGTTGAGAAATTTTATGCCATTGTTAGAACAAAGAACTTGGATTCGGGCCTGAAATTGTGTTTTCACCATTTTATGGAACTGTTGAAACTTTAAACTGATTTCCCCTTTAGTTTTGAGAAAGGAAACCCAAGTCATGCGTGTGCAATCATCTATAAACGTGACAAACTATCGAGCTCCTACCAGAGTGGCAATTTTAGCAGGTCCCCAAATATCAGAATGAACAAGAGAAAACGGAACCAAACTCTTATTTGAACTTAATGGGAACGGGACACGATGGGTCTTAGCCAATTCACACGTATCACATTGGAAGCTGGAAATATCAAGAATAAAAAATAATGATGGAAACAACTTCTTCAAATAATTGAACGAAGCATGCCCGAGACATTTATGTCACAACCAAACTTTGTCTCTCTCTCCCTCAGAACGAGTTCCTCTTGTTGTGAAAGCTTGATCTACCTTGGTCTCATTATTCGGTGCCCAGTCCAAGTAGTAGAGTTTGCCCCACCTAGTACCACAACCAATCGTCTTTCTCATGAGGATGTCATGAAAAACACAATGATTCGGCCAAAATGTTATAGTACACCCCGAAGTAATAGTAAGTTGTGCAACATACAACAAGTTATGGTCCAAGGATGGAACAAGCAACCTAGAATCTAGATGTAGGGAATTAGAGAGAGATAAAGAGCCCTCCCCAACTACAAGGGAGGGGGTACCATTAGCATTAGACACCACCGATGAAGTGGATGATATGCAACTAATAAGTTGGCCAAGACCAAATGTCATGTGATCCGTAGCACCCGAGTCAATAATTCATGTGGACTTTTTAGAGGGTGTATGAAAAACAGAACTTTTGGTGGTGGCGATAGAAGCACCAGTCCGAGTAGCCGGGTCAGTAGGATTGACCACATGCTTTTGTGAGTCTGCAAGAAGGGAGAGAATCGTAAGGGGTCCTAACATCACAGTAGAAGTAAGATGTGATATGAGAATGTGAGGAATTTAATTTGAGGAATTTGATGTAGGAATTTTATTTGAGAGGTATGTGTATAAGATTTGAGGGTATGTATTTAGGGATTTTGATAAGAGGATTTGAGGGATTTGGATTTGAGGAATTTAAATATGAGGAATTTGACTTAAGGTTTAGAGACAACCTAGAATCGATTGCTTTGATACCGTGCTAAACTATGAATATGGTTTGAATTCTTTAGGTTAAGTTTTATTCTTCTCCATTATGAGGTATATATAAGAGTTTACATGAGAGCTTTACAAAGAAATAGATACAGTAACCAATTGGGATAATATCTCCTAATTATACAATGATTTGTCAACTATATAAAATAAGAAAGTAAATCCCTTAATAACTCAAGGAAATAAATCTCCTTGATTAATTAGGAAGACTCGCGTCAACAAAAATTGCCCCTGCAAGCTTCAAGCATTATTTGCATATAATTTTCAACTTTTTAAACCAAATGGCCCACAAAGCATTACTTTGGGTGTTGTACCGTCATGACTTTTATTTGAAATTATTATATTTGTCAAAGGAGCACAAATGAGAGTCACCACTTCTACAATTTATCATTATTTTATTTTATGCCTTTCTCTTTCTTCATTTATCATTACTTTATTGATTGCTTATTTTACTAAAGACAAAAGACATATCGGGCGAAATGAAATTGTGCAATATATGTCAAATTGCCACGTAAGCCATCAAATTTCAATTTAATGTTTTATATTTGACATTTCCCTTGGACATACTCTAAGATTACAACTCAAGCAAGAAGCCATTTTCACAAGGGCGGAGCCACATAATTCAAGAAAAACTTAGTTACAACGTGGGTGACATTGTTTTGCTATCCCGGGTCTGTAATGCTATGTCACATGGAAGTGTTATCACGCGTATCACTGTGTCAAAGCGTTATTGACCGGGGATAGCAAAACAGTGTTTTTCCCATTTCAAGGCTAGAAGTGGTTGTGACCCCCAATTTTCAAAAACTCCTTTACGTTTTATATAAAACTTGACAATTTGTGTGCAATTTTTATTTATTTTTTAAAATGTAAATTTGTGCCCTTTACCCTAAACCCATTGCTTCTTAAGTACTCACGTTCTCAAGTAATCCTTTCGCTATCCCGTCAATTTTCTTATACCAAAGATTGTAGTTTATAATTGAAAATAAATTAAATCGGGACACTAAATGGCATAGGGTTTTCGAATCGCATATATAATATTATGAAAGTACAGAAGATACAAGTAAAAATTTGAATCTCGAGGTACATGTGCTAGGGTTATCCGATACTTGACGAGAATGTCTCACTGCGAAATATCATGAATACAGAATCGGAACAAGACAATGTATAGGAGCAACAAAGCTCTTATTCACGGCAATAAGAGGACTCTAATGAATATGCATATATGTGTAGGCTGTAGCTTCAGTTTTGTTTGACCCGCAGGTGATCTAAGCAAGGTTTCCTGACGCCAGCAGGGCTTGCTTGAAGTTCCATGAATTTCTCATATGTCATTCCAATGTATTTTGGGGCTTGGCCTTCTCTCTCTAACAACTCTGGGATTGGTAAAGCTGGTGTGTCCAGTGAGGGTCCATGGGGAACAGCTATTGATATCCTTGTAGCTTTGTTGTTCACAACAGCCCTATGCCATATACTCTTGTACTTGTCGTTTGTCAAAATCTGCCACGAAAAATTAACCATACACATAAATAATCGGTACCATTAATTTATGAAAATAAGTAGAGAATTATTAGATTGTAATTCTTAGATAAGATGGGTTTGGATTAAAAAAAGTTGGGTGTTATTTTGGTACCTGCATTTGGTCACCAATGTTAACAACAAAAGCTCCGGGAGCAGCATTCACCAACACCCATTGGTCTTTGTGCTTGACTTCAAGGCCACCCCATCTCATTCTGGATGAGGAGGGTCACCAGTCCGTGATCGGTATGAGGAGGAATGCCGATGGCTTTATCAGGCTGTGGGCACGCCGGGTAGTAATTCGCTGCCAGAATTTGTAAGCCACGGTCCCAGTTCATGGCCTTTGCTATGTAGTCAGCCTCCAACCCTAAGCTCTCTGATATTCCCTTCAATATTTCTGTGGCTACTTCTCGGGTTCGTTTGCTGAACTCCAGTGAAACCTCGCTGTATCCAGCAGGTTTGTAGAGTGAGTTGAACTCAGGGTGGGCTATGACCTTGAGGAAATCCCTCCAGAGATGAACTTTTTCAATGTCGACGTTGAAGCTGGTGCCGCACTTGATTGGATCCAACAGGTTCCTTGTTTGGAACTCTTTCTTCTCCTCCTCCGGCAGATCAAAGAATCTATGACACGCGTCGATCATTGATTGCATCAGATTCTCTGGTACACCGTGGTTGGTCACCTAATAATTCCCATATATATAATTTATGCTTAATTAGCTTTCATCATGAGAGTTGTAGATACAGTTTGACAAATACTTTGTTGATATTATAAGGTAAAC